TAATGTATATGTGTACATATATATTATATATATATGTGTATATATATATATATATATATATATATATATATATATATATATATATATATATATGTATGTATATATATGTAGTATATATATATATAGTATATATATATATATAGTATATATATATATATATATATATATTGTATATGTGTACATATATGTATATATATGTATATATAGATAGATAGATAGATGGATAGATAGATAGATAGATAGATAGATATATGTATGTATATATATATATATATAGTATATATATATATAGTATATATATATATATATATATATATATATATATATATATATATATATACACACACACACCACACACACACACACACACACACAAATATCCATACTGATAAGTAAATATGTAATTTGAATGAGCATCAAAAAGCCCTTCCTTTATGACCAAACAAAGAGGTAATATTCCACTGCCTCTTTCACACTTGAGTACTATTGTCGTTGGCGAGAAAGAGAAAAGAGAGAGAGAGGGAGAGGGAAAGGGAAAGGGAGAGAGAGAGAGAGAGAGAGAGAGAGAGAGAGGAGAGAGAGAGAGAGAGAGAGGAGAGAGAGAGAGAGAGAGAGAGAGAGAGAGAGAGAGAGAGATTGATTTGATTTGATAACATTTATTTACAGAACAGTGTACATGCCCTGCAAAAAGCCAGGGTAAGATACCAAAGCATCTATCCAAACTGGCTGTGCTTCTATTTGTGTAGAGGGCCATTGGTCAAACATTAGTGTTACATACATGCCTGAAGGGCTGTTCTATTATCACAATATTAAAATATCATCTGACTGGTAAAAAAACCTTTTACATCACTAATCATGTCAAAGACAAGACCAGTGTCTATAATAAAGTTAATATAATCTACAAGCGCTATTCTGTGACAGTACTATTTGATCGATAGGATGCAGTCTTTATGCAGCAGAGTAAGTAATGAGTGAGATTATGCGACTTGGGTTCCTTGCACAGTTTGCAATGGTGATATGAAACAGGTTTTGCATCCAAAACTGCATCCTGTACATATTGTATAGTGTACTGATATCCTATGCGTAGCCTGGTTAATGTAACCTGTTGTCTCCGAGACAGTCCGTAATAGATTTTATAGGGCTTGTCTAAATTTGATGTCCCAACAATACTCTCGTAGTGCCAGATAGTACCATGTCCGTCTTTTTTCATTTTTTCATTGGTCCATACCTGATCCTCATAATCTCTAAGACAGTTGATAACTCGTTTTTTCATTTGATTGAGAGATAGCGGTATTACATAGTATGGATCTTCATGGGAAAGTGCTAACCTGGCTAATTGATCAGCCCTGTCACATAGTGATATTCCTATATGAGAAGGTATCCAGTATAGTGACACTTGGGTACCCTGTTCTGATAATTTAGAAATTTGGTGAAGGATATTCTTAGTTACCATGTTTTCTGGAGTAAATGCAGTAAGCCTGTTAAGAGCGCCTTGGCTGTCTGTAAAGACAGCCAGGTTTCGCTGCTGTTCACTACCTTTCTTAATGGCATGATATATAGCTACTGACTCGGCATCAGTTGTGCTTGCCCAGTTGGAGATGCACTCACTTTCCCTGTTGTCCCATGAGGACCAGTGGAGGCATCACAGTAGATTGCAAGTGGGGGCGTATCATGAGGAGGATGTAGAATGCCATCTATATATTCCAAGTAGTGAGCTTTTAGTTCCGTTTTTGAAGCCATAGATTTAGACCCTATTAGTTTATCAATATGAGCACGTACATGAGTTATGTGCCAAGGAGCAGTAAGTACTGTATCTGGAATATTAATAGCTTCGTTGTTCCATACATTGAAGAACATGAGAGTATGAGCAGTTTTAGTTTTCCATTCTAAGTTGGACTGTATGAGATTGGAGTATCGAGGCCGGACATGCCTGACTCTATAATTTATCTCATTTGATAGGATACTGGAGATTTGTGGTCTGGGTTGAAGTTGCAGGAGCCTAATGCCGAGTATGGTGTTAACTTGGATGACACGACTGTGAATAGAAGGGAGGTCTAACTCTTTCATGACGAGAACTTTAGCGGTCATTGGGCATCCAAGTATAATTCTCATGGCCTTATTCTGTAAAACTTCAAGGGGTTTGAGGGCACTCGGTGGCAGCATACTAAGAACTGGGCTTGCATAGTCTATCATGGACCTAACAAGGGAGATATACATCAACCTTAGGACTCTCAGGGAGGCACCTACAAATCTGTTACTAATGTATTGCAATGGTCTTAAACGCTCAAGGCAACGTTCCTTGATGTTTTGAACAATATTCTTAGCAAAACGTGAGTTATGGGACATGAGGTGGGGAGCAGCCACCATAAGACCAAGATATTTGTAGGAGTCAGTTCTTGCAATAGTTTGTCCACCTAACCTTGGAATGTAAGGTAATCTACGAGATTTGGAAATATGCTTAGTTTTGATTGGGTTGATTATGAGACCAAGGGAGGCACACTTTTTGCTGAACCTCTGTAGAACGTAATCCCCCCTATCAAACACCTGAATAAGAATGTCATCAGCATAGGATGTGATGCTGCACAGGTTTCCTAACTCATCATTGAGCTTGCAAAGAGAGTGCATAAGTATATTAAACAGTGTTGGGGACAAACACTCCCCTTGTGGAGTGCCTAATTCCAATTCGCCATAAGCACTATAGATGCCTTGATACCACACTTTTGCTCTTCTCAAAGATAGATAATCCTTTATCCATAGCAGAAGCTTGCCCTTAACTCCCAAAAGAGTTAGTTCATGGAGGATTGCAGTAGGGGAGGCTCTGTCGAATGCTCCCTTAAAATCTTTGAAGTAAGAAGACTGCATTACATCTATTTAGGTACTGTGCTTGACACATTTGTGCTTCTCTCCCTTTTTGAAAGCCAAAAGATATATAGATCAGGTCTTTGATCTG